TTTAGATTATTCTTATTTGAGCAGATGTCTGAATTTTCAAAATTTCTTTCTTCTTACCTTGTTTTTGTTTCTTTTGAGTTCAAAGATTAAAAGTTAAGGACATGAGTCCTTAAGTTTGACATGCAGGTTCAAAAGTTAAGGACAGGCAGTCCTTAACTTATAGTTTCAAGTTCAAAACTTAAGGACTCCTGTCCTTAAATTTGAATTACACGTTCAAAAGTTAAGGACAGGCAGTGCTTAACTTTGAGTTCAAAGTTCAAAACTTAAGGACTGTCTGTCCTCAACTTTACAAAAGTTAAGGACATGAGTCCTTAAGTTTGAAATGCAGGTTCAAAAGATAAGGACAGGCAGTCCTTAACTTATAGTTTCAAGTTCAAAACTTAAGGACATGCAGTCCTTAAGTTATTGTTTCAAGTTCAAAACTTAAGGACTTTCTGTCCTTAACTTTGAGTTTCAGGTTCAAAAGTTAAGGACAGGCAGTCCTTAACTTATAGTTTCAAGTTCAAAACTTAAGGACTGTCTGTCCTTAACTTTGAGTTTCATGTTCAAAAGTTAAGGACAGGAGTCCTTAAGTTTGACTTGCAGGTTAAAAAGTTATGGAAAGACAGTCCTTAAGTTTGAATAATACGTTCAAAAGTTAAGGACAGGCAGTCCTTAACTTTGAGTTCAAAGTTCAAACGTTAAGAACAGGAGTCCTTAAGTTTGAAATGCAGGCTCAAAAGTTAAAGACATGCAATCCTTAAGTTTGAATTACACGTTCAAAAGTTCAGGACAGGGAGTCCTTAACTTTGTGTTTAAAGTTATCTCATTTTATCAACCTCCTCCTCAGAGGCTCAAATAAATTGTACGTAGTTTATATTACTTTGAGTCCTCACAATCTTTAAATCTTCAGAGCGCGCCAGTTACACATCCTTCTCCGACACACTTACCGACTAAATTGCCGCTTTTTCCAAATTTTTTATCTCATGATTTTCCTATTTATAACCTCCAGATCTAATTAACAAACTTCTGTAAAAGTCCAGCCAAAATTCTGATAAGATACACATTCTCCTGAAATTCAAATAAAAAATTTGGATGTAAATCTCACGAACGGGAAGTCCGCAACTATAAGAATTATTTCATGCCTTCTTTACTCAACTTGTTAAAGATGGACCATATCTCTGTATATAATTTATTGATGGGTAAATAAATGAGGAAAATAAACTACCATGACATCCATATCCGTGTCTACCAAAGACTAAAGACAGGTATAAGTTATAGCAGAAGGGTATTTTCGTCCAGTCAGGTATAAGTTTATTAAACCAGTGGCTAAAAACTAAAGACATTTAAAACACTGACTTTAAAATAAAGACAGGTATTGTTAGTGGCTATTTGTGCACATCGCCCATTTTTAAACGACCCCTTAGTGTTCAATTGAAAAAAAGGAAACAAGCTGGAGGGGTAATTATGTATTCTCCCATAATTAAATGCCAAAATGGAGTTATGGAGATGCCTAAAAGCAGATTGTGGCGTGGGGAATGGGAATTACTCAACCTAATTACAATAGGTGAATACCGAATATGATATGCTCCATTAAATAAGGAAAATTTACACCGTATACTTGTCCTTTAAAATAATAGCCAACAAATATATATTTTTTTTATAAATTTTTTTAATTTACAGTAGATATACATATTTTATATCTAATCAAAATATATTTATTGTATATTTAGCAAGCAGTTATAATTATTTTTAGTCGACCGACCAAATGTGTTAAAAAGCCCTATAAATAAAAGGAAATTTTACCTCCTGTAGCAAAGGTATACACCCTATTTATTATAAATCAAAATTGTTTTAAAATATTATTTTCTATAGCTACCTTTTATATTTTATAGCAAAATAAGTATTTATGATATATACTACCATTGATGCATGAAATACGCTATTTATGTTTTTTCTCTCTCTTAGACAACTGGACATACCTATTTTTAAGGTGATTGTCGTTATTGTATTCATGAATACATGGCGTGAATACCTGTGAATACATGTGCATACTGCTGAATTGCCATGATTTAAGGCGCGTTTTACTGTTGTATTCATGAATACAGTAGCGCCAATACATGTGAATACATGCACGTACAGCTGGACTGTCCTGATTTTAGGCGCTTTTTGTTGCTGTATTCATGGATACATGGCGCGAATACATGCGCGTACAGCTGGACTGCCCTGAAATACAACAACGCGAATACATGTGAATACATGTGTGTATAGCTGGACTTGCCTGATTTTAGGCACTTTTCACTGCTATATTCATGAATACATGGCGCGAATACATGTGAATACATGCGCATACAGTTGGATTACCCTGATTTTAGGCGCTTTTTGCTGTTGTATTCATGAATACAACAGCGCGAATACAACGAATACACTACCGTAACAACTGAATAGTAGTTATAGAAAGTAATTATGTATATGATAGCTATAGAAAGTTAATAGCCACTAACCAATAGTGATTTCTGAAAATTTTTCTAAATAAAACCTCTATTTGGGTCCAGCATATTGGCCTACTCTTTGGGCCTTTTAAGTCAACTCTCTCTATAAGCAAAAAATTGCAGAAATAAGATATTTTTTAAAGTAGTCTTTAATTTTTAGCCCCCTTTTGTCATATTGTCAATTGGGCAAAGAGGGGTCACACTTTAAACTTGAATTTACGCACACGAGACAACCGGGGCCAAAATTCAAGATCATCCAGTTCGAGTGTTATTTTTGTACTTCACCCCTCTACAAAGCGTCTCCTTAGGTCCAGCCCCTAAGGCCTTTTCTAGTAGCCGAATGATGATCACTTGCCTCGCCAAATTTGTATTGTCAGAATGGAGAAAGATGCCTGTTGTGGTGTACGGCAATTTGAATTAGGACGTTCAAGACAAGTGTCTCTTTTTTCGAAGTAGCCATTAAAAATAAATGAGTGTAATGTGACTATCAGCACAGTAGAATGCCATAAGTAGAACAGAAAATAAGAGAGAAATTGCAGAATAACATCGATTTTGCTACCTTGCGATAGTGATGGACTTAGTCGAAATATGCTTTTGAAGAAAACTACAACATGATCGATCTGCCATGCAGTATTTTCAGCAAAACTATATTTTTACTCTCATTTCATATTCTTAATCTTACTTTAATAAATCAGAAGTCAACGACAAACCACCGTTATGCATTAATTTAAAATATAGTAGTGATTTCCTCAACGCCTCGCATTCCTTCGTCACTATTTTTAAAAACTATTTATTTTTTAAATCATATTGGAAAGATACTTTTTTGGAAATTTTAGTGAAGGAAATGTCGTTAAAGGAAATAATGTTGTTTAAAACTAGGAGGTAGCTTTTCAGCCGAGTAAGGAGATGGGGCACATTCTGAAATTTGAACACGTGTAAGAGACAAAAGTATAATGGTTCTACACACCGGACATAGAATTAACGGCACTGGGTCAAATATATCTTTGTACTTTTGAAAATGATCTAAGAGTACCCCGCCCATGCCGTCATACTTTGAAACAAAAATATTCTTATTTTGGATTGAGTGCCACATGGCAGTACCAGATTAAAACGACCCATTTTTTTTTGTACCCCATCCGTTTAAAAGAAACCCACCACCCAACCCAATTTTTACCCCACTTAAAATACAACCTACAATATTTTGCTAAGAAGCAAATGATTCAAGTAGCACAAGAGCTATACCAACTGTAATCTGAGTAGCTATTACAACTCTTTTTGTCATACAACTCTTTTAGACGTAGATAACAATAAAAAAAGATTTGCATAATCTTACACAAAGCAAAGAAAAGAAAGGACAAATTAAAAAAAACTGCAAAGATCATATCATCATATTAAAAGGAAAATTGGAGTATGACTCAAAATTTCCCGTTGTTGCATTTCAGCCTCAAGTACGTTTCCATATCTCTATTCTGCATTTCACAACCAACTGATAATTTCCTGTTGGCCGACTGATAATTTGCAAAACTGGAAATCCAAGAATAAAGTGTTGTAGGTTGTATTTTAAGTGGGGTGAAATTTGGGTTTAGTGGTGGGTTTCTTTTAAACGAATCGGGTAAAAAAAAAAAAAAAAAATGAGTCGTTTTAATCTGGTGCTGTCACGTGGCACTCCATTCAAAATAACGGTATTTTTGTTTCAAAGTATGACGGCAAGGACATAGATAACCCAATAATATAAGGAGGGGTATTCTTAGACCATTTTCAAAAGTACAAAGATATATTTGGCCCGTTGCCGTAGAATTAAATAAGGATACGTGGTTGATTTTGATTTCAAGCTACAAAAAACTACATTAAAGAATAGGGACTTTTATTGAGCATTCTGGGACACCTTTTCGCATGATAGATGACTCATCCTTCTCGTTGGTCCCGTTACACAAGCTAGGAGTCGCTTTAATACATTTATATTTGTCCTTTTAATCCGTTAAAAAAAAGTGAAATAATATGTTTTCATATTTAATCAACTTTAAATTTTAAAATTTTCTTTTATTTTTAACTACTGAATTGTCCTAATATGTTTAGAATTATAAGATCTGAGGCATTTTTACACGTGACAAAAGTATTTTTTTTTCTTAAGTTTCTCGTTCAGTTAAACTATATTAGATAAAATATAATAAAATTACCTCAAACATAATTATTTATTATAAACAGTAAAATTTGTAACTAAAAATATAAAGGCCAAATATAAACCATGTTACCTACTATATACATAAGTTAATCATTTTAAAATGGTGCATTGGTAGGTTGGTCGGTTAATTGTTACCAATGGAAGTTACAAGGTGTTATATTTAACATTTAAAGTTAACAGTACAACAAATTAATCAATTTAAATTAATCTAATCTTTTACTTTTATTGGTAATCTAAATTATTGACGTTTTAAACATTTTTTTCCCGACGTCGTTGTAAACTGACTAGTGATAATTCTATACACTTCATATATAAATATATATCTTGTTTATAATTTTTATAATCAGTCTATTTCTCTATCCTCTTCACTCTATTTAAAAACACGCTCCTTCGTCCCTGTCTTTCTCCCCATCAAACTGCAACTTCAAATTTTGTCCTCATTTTTCTCTGCTTCTGAAAAGTGACAATTCAAAATTCACACAGTCACAAGCTCTGTTTTGACATTCAATTATAAATACTCACACTCATCCAAAAAGGCAGACATTAACCAGAAATTACACAGTCGAATGACGAAACGAAAAATGAAACAGAGCACTAATACTGGGAATAGACACCCAGTTTATAGAGGAGTTCGTATGAGAAGTTGGGGCAAATGGGTATCTGAAATACGTGAACCTCGTAAGAAGTCACGTATTTGGCTCGGCACTTACCCTACACCAGAAATGGCCGCTAGAGCACATGACGTCGCCGCATTGAGTATTAAGAAAAACTCATCTATTCTAAATTTCCCTCATCTGGTAAACTCATTGCCTCGTCCAATTTCACTCTCACCAAGAGATGTTCAAGCTGCTGCAGCTAAAGCAGCTTCAATGGAGGAGCCAATTATTAGTTCTATCTCTTCTTCAAATTCTTCTTCATCTTCTGACTGTACATTGGAGACAATAACATCAGCATCAGACGTCGAGTTGGGTGAAATTATAGAGCTTCCTTGTTTGGAGGGAAGCTTTGACTCGAACGAGTCGAAGACCGAGTTGAGGTTAAGTGACTCGGTTGACGGTTGGCTGTACGCACCGTGGTGGGCACCAGATAGCGACTTTGGTGAGTATTTGCTTGAGCAAGATGCCGTTGGAGAGAGTTTAATTCTTAGCAACTTTGAGAAGCAGAAATAAGCTTTTATTTTAATAAATACTGATCAAAGAGTGGTGTGAATTTTTTTTCCTTTTCTTTTTTAGACATTTGGATTTTTTTTTTAAATTCCCTCCCAAATTAGATGGATCTATAATGATTTCACACTTTCCTCTATCGTGACTCGAACACAGAACCAATTAGACATTTGGATAATTCTACGATTCTGGCAATTAGTCATGTGCGTTTGTATGTAAATAATGTGTAATATACTTGTAATATACTTCTTCTGTTCCATTTTAACTATCTTTTTACTTACTCTTTTTACGTCTTTAAAAAAGATATAAAGTGTAGTTTACTAAGTTATATTACGTGCTTTTTGAGAATTGAGCAATATTAAAAGGACTATTTTTTAAATATTAAGGGTATAGTTGGAACAATAAACAAATTTAATCTTGAGATTCTAAAATTATAATTATTTTAGGATAAATTTTTGAGCTAAAACGACAATTAAAATGGGACGGATGGAATATACCCGAATACTTTTTTAACATATTCATGAACGTATATGCTTTTAGTTAGTTAACCCTAGCTACAGCAAGTGTAGGGCATTTCTTGATCAGTTGCATGCAAACATCTAAAGAGCGAATCTGTCCAATATTTCTGTAAAAGTCTCTACCGTTCGTTTCCTTTAATTTCTACATTCATGAGTAGGTAGTAAATTACATTTTTAAAAGACAAATTAATTTAAAGTTAATCTAATATTACATTAAAATTGATTAATTTAGTTATTGGTACGTTAAGTAAGGCTATTAATTAATTTTAAAAGAGGCTTTAATGCGTAATAATTGACTGATGTTGTAATTAAGGGCCATCCAATCGTATTTAATTTGGATTTAAAAGTCAAAACTTGTGTTAAAGAAAATGGGTAGAGGTTGGGGATTGATAGGAAAAAGTATTAAGTAGAGTAAATGCTAGGATTATCTCAATTTGAAAGGTACAAAGTGTATTCAAGAATTGTAATCTTCAAGCTAATACATTGGTTAACATGTCACTTTCTTCTTTTTTCGTTGTCCTATTCCTTTTTTAAAAGACTCCAAACTCATTTGGGTGACTATTTCCTTTTAATTTTTCTTTTATGGTGAACTTTTTAAACTAACTTGCACTCCTTGTTTTATACTACTTCAATCGTCTCAATTTATGTAAAACTATTCGAATTTTGAGAGTCAAATGAATTATTTTTTTATCGTAACTTTATTTTATATGCATATAAATATTTTAAGTTATTAATTATTATAACGTATACTAGTATTTTATATGTATATTTTTCAAATAGGAGTAAATTTTATTTTGATAAACTAAATATTTTTATATTCAAATGCATATTCAAAATTAAGAAGTTTGAATTTCGAAAAGCTACAAATTTCACGTAAATTTGGACGAGTATAAAAGAACTATTCGTTGTTGGCTTTGTCTTTGAAAGATTTATCTACACAAAATGGGTCTGAGTGGGCAATCATTGATTCAATGTGCTCCTTTCATCCATTACCCTATCAATTTTCAACCACGTTTTGTATTCATCCTTTGGTTCCTTTTCAATATATTTAACTCTTCTCTATATTTAGTTGTTTACAACTTTACATGCCTCCTTGTTGTTTGACAGCTTTTCCCTTTTTTGTCTATTCTTTGTTGTCTGTTAAAAAAAATGAAAATTTGGACACCACGCATCCTAACTTGTATATCTACGCGCATTTTCCATTTTGATCAATTTAATGGTGTCAATTATTCTAAATGGCGATTGGAACAATTCAATTTGTTCAACATGTTTATGTTAGAGTATCAAAACGGATATTTATGTTATTGTTCAATTTGTTCAATAGGATTATATTATTGTCAATTAATTTACCATAATCTTACCTGTTATTATATAGAGTGTATGGGTCAAAATTAGACCAGAGAAATTCGGCACACGAAGACATAAAGCCAAGGTCGGACAGGTCAACGTCGGACCGTCATCAATAAAGCCAAGGTCGGACAGACCAAGGTCGGGCCGTCATCAATAAAGCCAAGGCCGGACCGTCATCAAGAAGGTCGTGGTCGGATAGGCCGAGGTCGGACAGGCCGAGGACGGACAGTCATGAAACTGCTAGTTTGCTTTAGAATACTCAAAAGGAATATTCTACCGAATATTCTCTCAAAATTGTACCTTTTGTAAGGATTTTCTATGGATACCCCCCTTATAAATAGGAGGGGAGGACTTCCCATTAAGGGGGCTCTCTCTCGGTCTCCCTCTCCCTCTTTCTAGAAAATATGTAAACACATCTCTCAAAAGAGAGAAGAGGATCTGTGATCCAAAACCTTCATCAGATCCAAAAAGGGTCCAATGGTTCTTGTATTTTGTCTATCACTCATCTTTATCAAATGAAAGAAGATCCGACTAACTTAAGATCGGGTGAATCTTTTCCTTTATCTACATTTTATTGCCATTTAATGTTATTCAATGCATCTTTCTTTATGTTATTAAATCTGGCTATAATCACGCCCAATATTTATACTCAGCTATGTTTTTCTACTCATATTATTCGTCTCAGATCTAGAGTTAATTATCTTTAACTAGGATTTACCCCTTCATCTATTTGATTGATTTGCTTAAAAAGTGTTAAACAACTTTTGAGTCAAACAATTTGGCGCCGTCTGTGGGGATTTTCTAGTTAAAATTCTAGTTTTCTCTAGATCTAAAATTCAATCCTAGCGAGTTTCTTGTGTAGCTCCTACGGCACATACATTCATACCAAGAACATAAAAGAAGTTGTTGACGTTAGTAGGCTATGGTCAAAGCTACATGTATATTGGAATTGTGAAATGTTTAATTGGCTGATTATAAACTTTGGACTATTGCTCCAATTTGAGGCTTTGAGCCACTTATATTCCAAAATGTTGAAAACGAATGAAGATCGGCGTGAAAATGTTAGCATCTGAAACACCAGTAGGATCCAGGTAGAATCTAACGAAGGAACAAATTGATTTTCTTGAAAGCATATACAGGTAGGGATAAGGACACCAAGTGCTGAGCAGATACATCAGATAACTTTGAGGACTAATGTTTTTCCACCACCTCGACCAAATGACAACATTCACGAGGTAATGACTTTGGGAGATGCTCAACTCTACTTCAGCGTCACCGCTTCCTGCTAATTTTGTTTGCCCTCCGAACATTTCTTTGCACTAGATCAAACTGAGGAAATACGTCACACTTAACCGTGCCTTTGGAGGTCTAAAAAGATTTTAACACGCTTTAAGTTGTTGTACTAAGTTTAAGAAGCTGTTTGTTTGAACTTATAAGGTAGTCAAACTTGTATATTAATATTATAGCACATCTTGGCTTATATGTGCCAAAATTAAACCAAAGCTATAAGTTGGTCAAAGCACTTTTGGTCTGACCAAAATATTTATTATTATTCTATTCTTAATATTTTTTAATTCTTAAAATACCTTATCGGGTAAAAAACTCTTTACCCTTCTTTACTCCTATATTTGTTATTTCTCCTTTTTTTTATACGATATACTTTTAAATTTATTAGTTTTGTTTTTAAAAAAGGTATTGTAGTTATTTTACTAAAAAATATTTTATCAGTACTTTTTAACAAAACACATCAACTATTTTTTATATTTATTTTAACGTTTCTATCTAAACACGAAACTGCTTATTATTTGATCAATTTTAGCTTTTAAGATATTTTTTAGTACTTTAAAACTTATTAGCTATTTAAAATAAACTAACCCATACGAGCTGTAAACCTATGATAAAGTTAACGAGGAAAAAGGATAGGATTTCCCTCATATTATAGCCGTTAATTAACGATCTAGATAGGAGGAAGAATCTATACATAGGACAATTAAATAAAACCGTTGAAGGAGAGAATTGAGGCTGCCAAACTTTCACCTTAGGGGTAAGGGAATTTTGTAGATTTGGTCATTAAAAAAATGTGTGATTAAAAGAAAAAATGAAGTTAGAGTTGAAAAGAGTCGTTTGAAAATTAAATTTTGTTAGACATGTTATTTAAAAATATTTGCATTTTGTGAAGAAAAAAATATCGCTTACTTGAAAAAGAGGTAAAATTTACTTTTTCAGTTTTGAAACTCATCTTGAAATTTTTTTGAAACTATCTTTAAAAATTCAGTTAAATATATAACCAAAACAATGTTTTGAAGATGAGTTTGAAAAAAAGGAAAAAATTGTATGGACAAATGAGTCTTAGTAAGGTTGACTACCTGAACTTTCACTCGTTGGTGAGGGTTTGATTCCCTATTTTGTCATCCCTTTCTCCATTTCCCTTTATCCTACCCTTTGTAATAAAAAATATAAAATAAAAAATGCTTCAAAATTTAGGTCTTAATTAACTCAATCATTCTTCAAACTAATTTCCACCGTGATTTGACTCCTCAAATTATTTCCTTGGTTAAGATACTCTCTCCGTCTACGCAAGGATAGAGTAGATCTCTTCGCGCACTCGCTGTCCCTACAAATTAAAGAACTCACTCTCCTCTTCAGCATATTATTCAGCAACCTAGAGTGCTCTCGCTCATTAACCTTTACTATCTCACATAAACACTCCTAACACATATTCCAACACCATTCACTTCAAGGACAATGTAGGAAAAAAATAATTAATTCATTCTTGAAATCTGGAAAAATCACTTATTTTGAACCACAAGAAAAATGCCAAAAAATCACTTATTTTGGACCGGAGGGAATATCATCAGCTATCGGATACCTCCTCATCCAATAAGGGAGGGATTATTTTTGGACCATATATGATTAAAAATTAATGCTTTGCCAAACTTTAGGCCATAAATCCATTACACGTATGTACGAACTACTAGAACTCAGCATACAATTAATGTTTGTTAATGATCTTCATTTAAACCATTAGAACTTAGAAAATAATAGTATACCTAATGCTGCTTTATTAGACACAGCCTCTGCGGTTGGCTATGTCTCTATCACTTAACCTTGACAGGACCATCTTTTAACACAAGAAATGTCCTTTTCTATCATCTACTACTGGTAGCAGTCTCAGCTATGTCATTTGTAGAAAAATAAGAGACAAAAAGCAAATTTAACGTTGCAGAGTTAGATACATAATATTGTACAATTAAACATAACATTACGATATGGTAATAATCACAACTTAAGATCCTGAGTAAGGTACAAAATATGGTAGTTACATGAGTTCTCCATTTTTATCGCTAAGTACAATGTTGTAATCAGAGGCGGACCTATGTTACGAACTGAGGGATCACCC